AAAACTACAATGTCAAAAAATGTCTTTCGTTTGGAATTTAAAATTGAGAATGGAAATGGGGAATGTGTCAAAGAGACAACAACCCGACCACAGAACAGACAACAGCAGAAGGCCACCAACAGGTCTTCAATGCAGCGAGAAATTCCCGCACCCGGAGGCGTCCTTCAGCTGGCCCCTAAACAAATATATATACTAGTTCAGTAATAATGAACGCCATACTAAACTCCAAATTGTACACAAGAAACTAAAATTAAAAATAATACAAGACTAACAAAGGCTAGAGGCTCCTGACTTGGGACAGGCGCAAAAATGCGGCGGGGTTAAACATGTTTTTGAGATCTCAACCCTCCCCCTATACCTTTAGCCAATGTAGAAAAGTAAACGCATAACAATACGCACATTAAAATTCAGTTCAAGAGAAGTCCGAGTCTGATGTCAGAAGATGTAACCAAAGAAAATAAACAAAATGACAATAATACATAAATAACAACAGACTACTAGCAGTTAACTGACATGCCAGCTCCAGACTTCAATTAAACTGATTGAAAGATTATGTCTTCATCATATGAATATCAGGCACAATCCTTCCCGTTAGGGGTTTAGTATCATACCATCATAACATATATGAGAAGAACATAACCCGTGTCATGCCAACAACTGGTTTTTAAATAAATGTGTTTAGTGCCGATGCAAAGACCCTATAAGTGAATCAATATTAACGCCAAAATATGCAATCTTTAATGACCTGACAACAGTATCGTAACTATATCCCTTCTTAATAAGTCTATTTAAAGGTTTTGTTAGTTTCAGAGGTGAATACTGACATTTTTGTGCTTTATAAAGAATATTTCCATAAAAAATTGGATGTGAAATACCTGAACGTATAAGAAGTCTGCATGTTGAGCTATATTTACGAATGATGTCCTTATACCGATGATAAAATTTAGTAAATGTTTTGACTAGTTTGTGATATCGAAAACCCTGGTGTAATAATTTTTCAGTAATACATAAATTTCTCTCGTTAAAATCTAAAACATTGTTACATACACGAGCGAATCGTACAAGTTGAGATATATAAACACCGTAAGATGGTGACAAGGGAACATCACCATCTAAAAATGGATAATTAACGATAGGAAATGAAAAATCATCTCTTTTATCATATATTTTAGTATTAGTTCGAACGGGGTTTCCTAAGGGGTGATAGAACGTTAGACTTGATTTTTGTTTTAACTTTGAGATACTTATTATTAATTTTTTATATAGTTTGTATATTCTTTGTTTATCTGGGAAAAAAAAGAAGAAAAAAATAACAGACAATTTCGCACAATTCTTAAACGACGATCAAAGGCATTACGTTATTTTTAAAAGACGGACAATTTATAACATGTTTAAGTATTCTTTTCTTTGATAATAAGAACCATGCTTGAAAAATCGAAAGAAATCTATTTCTGACCCTAATGGCAAGTAAGAACCAGAAAAAAGAAAAAATTCCAAATTGGCGCCAAATTATTTTTTCCGCGAAATTAACGCAATTTCAGAATGGCGGGTTTTAATATCAGTCCCATTGTTGTCTTAAGAGAGTAGCAACAACGGTCGTTTTTAAGGGCTTGCTTTCCGACTGTGTAGATATCAAGACAATCAGAAAATAGGAAAAAAATCATTTGAATTGTATTACCCTGACACTGTACGCACATAAATTACGCAAACAATCGGACTTAAGTATATTTTAATCTTATCAAAATAGATCTGAATCGTGTTTATTATTGATGTTCTCACTTTTAAACCTTTACAACTGCATTTTCCATTAAAAATAAAAAAGATAGCATAGGTGTACTGAAAATTCGACATTTTTTTTAAAGTGACCCATATGTGACGTCAACAGGCATGGTCATCATATTATGACGTCACATTAGGAATTAAGGTGGAAAGCAAGAAAATTTGACGTCATTCAGTTTTGTCGTAATGAAATTTGGACCAATTATTTAGTAAAAATCATTTTTTTAACATTTTAATAGAGATAAGAAATATTTTTCTCACTCCGATCGAGAAATGTGAAAATAGAATCATTATTTTTCCACGAGACAATTAAGTTTTTGAATGTAAAAGCCAAGGGTTTTAGTGATTTAAAGTTCAACTGTCAAGTATGGGAAAATATCATATTGCATAATGTTCCATATTGGACTTTGTTTCTCTTACGTAAATGTATACGATTTTTAGATGATTTGTAGACAAACGTTATTTATTTTTTCACGTGTTCTTTGTGTGCAAGTGCGCTCTTTTAATACACAGTCATTTATTTACGCAAATAAACTTCATTAATGTCATACATCCAAGCGTTTTTCTAGACTTACCGTCATCAGAAACGTTCATTGCAAAATATTGAATATAATATATATATACTCGCCTTTTGAACCCGTAAAAAATTCAACCTCCGTTTTATGTACATTTAAAACATTGTTATGACGTCATTGTATTGTTTTACCCGTTCTTTATTTCAGTGATTGATATATCATTCACCTGTAAGAAAACATTGTGTTACCTTTAACTGTCCAATATTTTAAAGAATAATCCTCCTCGTTCTTGCAAATATTGGATAGTTGTCAGGAAGCATAATTGATTCTTACAGGTAAATGATTGTTTAAAGCCTGAAAAAATCCACCAATTCACAAATTTTATTTCTTCATTTAGAAAACATTTACAACGAAAGAAGAAATGACAATTACAGAAAACAATTTTATTAAGTTCACCTTCCAATACAATAATTTCTTCACTCATCAAGACGGTTTCTGGAGAAAAAAAAACAACTTTCAAATTAATTTTACACTACCAGAATCTTATTTCACAACCATTTGTTTCATGTTTCGGGTTGTCTCCTCTAGCACCAATTTGGTTGACAATGCTGGTTGTGAGTTTTGTTTTTGGTGTTTTTATATATTTCTTTTTGCACAAGATTTGTTTTATCCTCACAAGTCTTTGGATATAAAAATCGACGTCTGGTCTTGCTCTCATTCTGCCTTTCATCATTTTCAGCTAGAAAGAAAAAATAATAATTTAATGCTTCTAACGCTTGATAGATTTTGCCGCAATACGAGGACCACAAGATAAATAATTATAAAATCATAATTAGGAGAAAATATTTCATCTGAAATGATGTTTTACCAAGTGTTGATGTGCAAGCCACAGATTGTTCCTTGGACAAAATAACTAATCAAGAATTTGATAAACAACCTAAACCTCACACTGTGTACAAACTGCACAATCGAGAATTTGCTTCATGCACTAGTGGGCAACAACAGTTTTTATAAGATATAGGTGTCGGCGTTGATTTGCATTTGTTTGGTGTTAAAAATCTGATAATATTGTTTGTATAAGTATATAATGCAATACTTTGCGTATTAACGACGATGAAAGTAAGAAACAGAAGAAAAAAAGAACGCGTTATCGCAGGGGAAAGAAATCAATCGTGTGTCCGATTTGCACTTAATTCGTAGTAATCGTTTTTTTTTCTAGAAACAGAAAGAAGTTTCTAGAAATTATAATAAACGTAGGGGCTAGATTTAATCATATGTTTGTTAAAAACGTATTTATACAGTGTGTAATTGTGTTATATAAATTTGGACATAAAACCCTTTCCTCCATTGAACTGATCGAAAAAGGGAGCGTTTTTAATAGAGGTACTCTTACTTTATAAAACGTCAAAACACGAATTGCATTTGTTTCTTTCCAATGTATTTATGATCAGTTTTAAACACTTTACTTTAGTTAAGTTCTCAAAAGAAAAATTGATTGAATACAATAATTATACATTTAGGCTCAGTGAACCCTTTGGCTAAAATGGCTGCATTTTCACCTTAAAATTTACTCTGAGTACAGACAATTATGAGTATCTGGAAATTTTTCAAGGCATAGCATACTCTAGATAAATAAAATTCAAATATATTTTGCAGTGCACTTTTTTCATTCCTCCAGAAGGTGCCAAAATAAACTAAGTTGGGAAAGAGGTTTGAGAACTTCCCCACAGGTAATAATTGAAGTGAACTGTATTGATTGATATTAAAGTGTTACTTGGCCTGTCTCGCTTGGCTCTAGGGTTACCCCAAGGGTTAATACAAGCTAAGCTTGGTGTAAATGTGCATTTACCTTCCTACTAGGTGTCAATCCCTGCTAACCTCGTCGGGTCCTAAATCTATTGCTCCTTGCCTTGCTCGTTCCACAGTAAGAGAGGGACGCACTTGAAGTAGAGGCTGAGAGTACCCAACTGTGACCCTTGTGTCATGTATCCCTTCGGATCCCCTCGGTGCTGTAACAGTACCCTCACGACAGGCTGGGGAAACCCCCCAGTTCTACAGGGCAATGACACAACACCCCCTCCACCTTAAAAAGGAGGAACTACAGTTCCGACAAAGAACAACTGTAAAATCTTACACAAGCTTCCCAGGTTAAGACTGGCAGCGTCTTTTATTAACTTAACCATGACACAAGATATCTAAAATATCCACTCCCCCCTCCCTTAAAATTGAACAAACATAATCTTTCCCTGAGAAAAATTAATTACCAATGTAAACATAAGCATACAAATGACAATTCAGCTCTGAACAGCTATCTAGCTATGGAGTATCAAACTCCCAACAATTTACACACAAGAGTTGCCAAATGGTGCTAACCTAAGCAGGTTCTTCAGGACATCAGCCGAACTCCACGTCGACCATAGCCATATGATATTCCAATTTAACAAGTCCTGGAAACATGTCTCACTACGAGACGATAAACTGCGTGCTCAACACGTCTAAATCCCCGACTCTGTGTAACGTTGATAATTACATGTATCAACTGTTCAAACCTGAACTGAAGAAAACATACTTCACAATATACATGCATTAAATAAAACAATGGTGCTAACCTAAGCAGGTTCTTCAGGACATCAGCCGAACTCCACGTCGACCATAGCCATATGATTTTCCAATTCAGTTAGAAAACATTTACAACGAAAGAAGAAATGACAATTACAGAAAACAATTTTATTAAGTTCACCTTCCAATACAATAATTTCTTCACTCATCAAGACGGTTTCTGGAGAAAAAAAAACAACTTTTAAATTAATTTTACACTACCAGAATCTTATTTCACAACCATTTGTTTCATGTTTTGGGTTGTCTCCTCTAGCACCAATTTGGTTGACAATGCTCGTTGTGAGTTTTGTTTTTGGTGTTTTTATATATTTCTTTTTGCACAAGATTTGTTTTATCCTCACAAGTCTTTGGATATAAAAATCGACGTCTGGTGTTGCTCTCATTCTGCCTTACATCATTTTCAGCTAGAAAGAAAAAATAATAATTTAATGCTTCTAACGCTTGATAGATTTTGCCGCAATACGAGGACCACAAGATAAATAATTATAAAATCATAATTAGGAGAAAATATTTCATCTGAAATGATGTTTTACCAAGTGTTGATGTGCAAGCCACAGATTGTTCCTTGGACAAAATAACTAATCAAGAATTTGATAAACAACCTAAACCTCACACTGTGTACAAACTGCACAATCGAGAATTTGCTTCATGCACTAGTGGGCAACAACAGTTTTTATAAGATATAGGTGTCGGCGTTGATTTGCATTTGTTTGGTGTTAAAAATCTGATAATATTGTTTGTATAAGTATATAATGCAATACTTTGCGTATTAACGACGATGAAAGTAAGAAACAGAAGAAAAAATACAATGGTGCTAACCTAAGCAGGTTCTTCAGGACATCAGCCGAACTCCACGTCGACCATAGCCATATGATATTCCAATTTAACAAGTCCTGGAAACATGTCTCACTACGAGACGATAAACTGCGTGCTCAACACGTCTAAAATCCCCGACTCTGTGTAACGTTGATAATTACATGTATCAACTGTTCAGATCTGAACTGAAGAAAACATACTTCACAATATACATGCATTAAATAAAACAATCCCAAAGTCCTAAAGACAAGTTCATTACTACCGCCCTGAATTTCAAAATGAATCTAACTAATATGTATACCCCTATACATAATTTACAACCGACTAAATACTATATGTCTATAATCCCATAACTGGGAGGGATGTACATGACCATAAATAATATGACTTTTGTCAAAAATCAAACCTATATAGTGCCTCTATACAAGGATAAATTTTACTATTAAACTTCTATAATAGTTTAACTACAATATACATGATAAATACTAGTCATGACACCACTCTTTATATCGGTTGCATCTGCTGAATATCTTCGTGCACTTTACATGTGAGAGTGTGAAGCAAACAATTAATAAAAATCACATAAAATACAATTACGGTTCACACTCAACACAATACCAATGGCGGTCAATCCCAATCTGGAAAAAATGGTCTGTTTTGGCCTCCGTACTACTGACGGCGCCTCACCTCGTTGTGACGACGGTGACCCATCAGGTTAAAGCATACGCTGTCATCTAAGACTGTTCCTTCACAGATCAGTGTAACATTCCCACTTTCAGGGAAACGTTCGGTTACTACCTTGTACAGTTCTGTTATAGAACTTATCCTTGCCATGCACTGCAAACCTTCATACTGTATAACCACAAGTGTTGGAACATGAGGGCTCGGGTTTGACTTGAGCTGCGAAGAAGAAGGCTCTACCTGGGATTTAGCTAGTTGTGAAAATGAGACCCAGAAAAATTGCGGTTTCATTCTCCGGAGTATGGTGTGCATTTGTGTCAGTGTCTGTCGTAATTTAATGGAATTTCCTCTTATTTTCCACAAGACTCGGTGTATCCGTATAGCTCATATTCAAATTTTCACTCTCAAAGTGAATTTCTTCTTTTTCGTCCAGCACTATGAAACATTCTTCTTTTTCCGACACAATATTGTCTTTCTCCCCTTCTTTTGGAAGGATTGGTGACTCATTTTGAGTTTCATGATCAAAGGCTGGCCAAAAACTGGCATTCATCTTAGCAAGTTCCTCAGGTTTTGGAGGATTTCTAGGATTGAAGTTAAATCCTTCGGCTACCATTTTTTGTTGTTCAGGGGTCTAAAAGGGAAGAACTGAAGTTAGGACTTTTCAGTTGAGTAAACAAGCAGGGCTGTTTACTGGTCTCAAACTATATCTAAAAAACTCTGTCCATCCCATCTCTTTACATACTGAACGATGGATTTGCATCTGTATCCCTGTAACATGTGTAGAACGGGGCACACAAGACTTCTCATAAAGGAAGTTCACCAATTCTGTGGCAGTCACCTTTTCCTGCCTGTTTAACCATTTTCCTATAAGCATAACCACATAAGCTCTATGTTGGTGAAATCCACTGTCCTTCATGAGTCTTGTAGAATGATAGGTCTGGAACATTTCAGAAAGATATTCTTCAAAACAATGTCGTTTTAAGTCTCGTCTATGTACTACTGCTGGTCAGTTCTTAACCAGACATTTGCGATCAGTCCGACTTTGAACCCGTGTCCTCTCCCTTTTCCCACTTTTGGGACAAGTATAATACTCAAGGTTTAATTCACCTGTCTCTACCTTGTTAGTACAGCACTGATTGTTATTGTTTCTACATTGATCGTGCTCTTCCTGTGTTCCTCTTTTATCAGATTCTTGGGTAGATGTCGAGGCCATCATGTCTAGGTTAGACTTTACTTGAGGAATCATTTATGACTGTTTCAGAATGAAAATCAGCACTTTACCTGCTGAGTTCTGTGGCTGTGAACCTTTGTGTTGACTCTTCGGGTTTCTCATCAGAAGTTGAATCTGAAGTGTTCGGTCCATGAACAATGTTGAAATTTGGTTCATGAGCAGTATTTTCATCTCTTAGGATTAGTGGCATGTTTCTGTTTTGTACAGTTATGATTAATTCTCCAATATTCATGTTAACTTTGTTTTGTATAATAAAGTCACATCCAAGTATTTGGAGCTACATGCAGTTGTAGATTGAACTGTTTATCTCCAATCTTGAACATGGTAGGACTATTAAGCCTGCATGGCATTGTCATGTTGGTACCAGCACTATCCATGGTGGTCTCCCTGATAGCATAGGGCTTAGGCTCCAAAGTGTCAAAATGTGTGTCCTTTAGAATAGTTACTTCAGAACCAGAGTCAACTAAAGCAATTACTTTCTTATTTGCAATATCTACTTCAACTCTCAAGAGTTTAGCTGCTCCTTGTGTTCTCACTGTACTAACATGACTAATTCCTGATACTGTCCCTTCAGATTCATCAAAATCATCTTTGTTCTTCTCATTAAAAGATACTTGAGATTTTGGCTCTTTCTGCACTGACTATCGACTTCCCGTATCTTGTAGGTCTGGACAGTTTCTGATATAATGACCTTGCTTGTGACAATTATAGCATTCAATATAATAACCACGTCTGGTTTGTCTCCTGTCACCTGAATTATACCTCCGCCAACGTCCTTGGTTTTTATAACTACGTCTAGGCGAATAATTTGAAGACCTGTTGTCTCGATTAGGTGACATAGAACTTGGACTGGTTGCTGGTTTGGCTGATTTTTCCTGAACCAATCTGGTGACTGTGGAAATTATTTTTTCCATATATTCTTCCATCCGTGAGAGACAGTTGTCCATACTGGACTTGGAGCTTCCTACGCCATGGACCACTTGAGGGTTTGCTGTCTTCTCTATAGGAGACTTCTCTGTTTCCTTCCCAGGCTTTTTAATAGCATTTACTGCTTTCCTAGTGTGCTGATACCATCTAATCATATCTAAAGCAGCATCCATGGTCTAAGGCTTTGATATACAGGCCTCAGTTCCTGCCATCTCATCATTGCAACCAGACAAAATCTCATGATAGCCTGTTCAGTCATTAGTTGTTCTCTACATCTGCTATAGGCTCTAGTTGCGAGAGACAGCACCTTTTCAGACCACTCCTTCAAGGACTCCTTTTCTCCTTGGGCACTTGTCTGAAATTGAACCTGTGAGGTTTCTGGCAGTTCCTGAAAACCGAATCTCTCATTCATATTGGATATGATGTCATTGGAACTCGCTGTTTTGTTATTTTCCAGGAGTAAGGTGTACCACACACTGGTCGCATCTTCTAAACACCAGCATAGCTGTTCCCTCCTCTGTTCATCCTAGCATAACCAGAAAACTTAGTATAAAAGGCTTTCCAGTTGCCTTTCCCACTGTTCTGGAGTGTTCTTGGGATCGAGGAAAGACATTGCTTTTTTTCAATTTTCTCTTTCTTTTTCCGACTCTTTGAATGTCGACTGTCTGTCTCAGATTCCGATTGAGAATCTCTAGCCGTTAGGCTTCTCCTAGGATTATGTCTACTATGTGCTGGAGAGTTTCTTACACTTCTAACTGGCGAGAAGTCTTGGCATGAATGATCACGAGGTCTATAGTAAGCATGTTCTGACCTTCGCTTCTTTCTGCTCCTTCGGTGTGCTGAAGCATCTGACGTGTCAGAATTACACGTACAATTAGAACCTGGATCACTTCTACGTTGCCTCGCATAGTAATCACTGTTATAGGGATATGCCTTCGGTCTTGCTGCGGTGTGCCAGACATAGAAACCTGTTGATGTGGCACAGGTATTGCATGTAACTGTGGCTGATAGCTATTCATACCTGGAGGCCCTGAAAGATTAGGCTGACCCAAGACTGGGTACGTTAAGCCAAATATGTGTTGCTGGTTGTAGGCCTGCACATTCGCTGGTGCCTGTGGCGGTGGTCAACCTCTAGGAGGCTAGAACATGGATGTTGTTGTACGGGTTGTGCATAGTTGTTGACTCCTAGTTGAAGCTGGTCTAGCCTTTGTTGTAGGCCTTGTACCTGTTGTTGCATTTGCACTGGTGACACAGGTTGTTGAACCTGGTTAACACCTGGTTGTTGGTTGGTGGAACCATATGATGCTACTGTTGGTTGGGTACCTGTTGGTGACTCGGTACATGAGTTTGTACAACTGGTTGTTGAACTCTGTTGACACCACCTTGTGTGTTGCTAGTACTCAGTTGGTATTGATATGTTGATGGTATATCTGTTGAATATTTCCCCTGTGAATTTGGTTTGAATTGCTGGAATTTATAACTCTGACCTGGTTGTTGAGGGTTGTTGTAACCTTGTTGAAGGTAGGTTTCTGTATGTTGAGCACTCCGTGAGAAGTGGTGAATATGATCAGAAGGTAACCTTTCTGGTTTGGCAATCGATCTTTGTTGTGAACTATTGTCGACTCCACCTTGTTGTAAACTGTTGCAGCCAAGTTGATACTTATTGAAGTCCTGTTCTTGACTCTGATGATAAATTGGTTGTTGATGTTCCACAAATTTAGAAGATACCGGTGGACGACTTTCGACACC